CACACACACACGGACACACACACACACACACACACGGACACACACACACACGGACACACACACACACACGTTCATCTGTCAGTGAACACACTCATGAGGAGAAACAGACGAAAAGATCAAGAGAGAGCTGAACACTTACAAACACGGGTCGAGGTTCGTAACACTCCTCAAACAGCCTGTCGATGGCAAATAACGCCGCCTGACAGAAACAAACACCAATAAATGTTCATAGAGAAACAATACAGAAATAAAGCATGTACAGGAATCCAAATATCATCTTTTTGTTTTCCACTTTTCTCACAATTTCTACCCGATAAAATATATATATTTTTTTTTTAAATACATGTTTATGAAATTTTAGAGATTTTATACATTTCCATGATTTCTCCAGATCTAGAAATCATTTAAAAAGAAATTAGAAAAAAATAAAAAGAGGCTTCCTCATATATCCAGTCCTGGTTCTTCAGGGACAAAAATGAATTAAAATAAAGAATGTCTTGATTTTTAAGATGTTTTAGCTTACTTAAACGCTTCTTTTGTCTTCTTATAAATCATTTTACTCATCTTGAGGCTCCTGGTTGAGAATTTATTAACTGCCAATTTTTTATTTGTGTGAATAAATATACACACATGCATGTATGCATATATATACTGTATATATATATATATATATATATATAAAATTGGCAGTTAATAAGTTTAATTAAATTAACACTATTTTATTAATTAAACTTTAAAGGGGTGGTTGATCAGCTGTTCGAAGGTTTGATTGTGTTTATGGGGTTTTGTGTTTATGAACTTTGAAGATATTGTTTATGCTCTAACAGCAACATTACACACTAACTAAAGTTAAAACCACAGAAACGCCTGACTGATGCTCAGATGAAGGTGGTCTGTGTCAGATCGTACGAGAGTTCGGCTGTACCTTTGCGTTCGCTGTATCAAAGATGGTTTCCACCAGCAGAACATCAGCGCCTCCGTCCATCAGACCCTTCACCTGCTCCGCATACGCCTCTGCCAGCTCATCAAACGCTAAACACACACACAACACGCGGTCAGTCTTACTGATGTTCCTGTAGTCAGGTCTCTCCACCGATGGAGACACTGACAGCGTTTTATTGGTGGGACCCACGGCTCCTGCTACAAACCGCTTACAACCTGCCAACAACAACACCACCAACGTCACAAACACACACACACACACTATGATCAGAGACGGACGTCTGTGTGACCTGTCTGTGCAGAGACATCATCCGCAGCTCTCCGGGCCAGTTCTGCAGATGCTTTATTCAGCCGATACGCCTGAAACACAACAGGCATCACAGGCTGCTCACAGACACACACACACAGATAGACACAGACACACACACACAGATAGACACAGACACACACACACAGATAGACACAGACACACACACACAGATAGACACAGACACACACACACAGATAGACACAGACACACACACACAGATAGACACAGACACACACACACAGATAGACACAGACACACACGCACACACACAGATAGACACAGACACACACACACACACAGATAGACACAGACACACACACAGACAGCAGACAGACACATAGACACACAGACACACACACAGACACAGACAGACACATACATAGACACATACACAGACAGACACACATAGACACACAGACACAGACACATACACACATACACAGACAGACAGACACAGACAAGACACCCACACACACACA